GGTTCTGGAAAAGAAGCTGCTGAATCCAGACTGGCCACTGCACTCCAGCCTGGGCGACAGAGCGAGACTCCGTCTCAAAAAAAAAAAAAACAAAAAAAAAAAAAAAAAAAAAAAAAAACAAAAAAACCGTATGTGCAAAAGGAAGAGCTTCAAAGAAGTCCATAGGGAAGGAATGACTGCGGTGCCATGAGGGTCATTAGTCAAGAGTGTGGTGAGACAGGGAGACGGCAGCTTTCCTGTGCCACGAGAAGATGGGAGTTGGGTGGACACAAGAACTCAGGGCTCACGTTTGAGTCCATGCTCTTTTAATGACAGCCACACATACCTGAAAGCAGCCAATCTCCATTAAAAATGTGTGTTCTTTTCCTCAAAGGAGACACGATAGACATCAGAAAGATAAGATTATTTCAGCTACCAAAGTGTATTTGATATCCATCTCTTCCAAGATGCGATATGGGATGGGATGGGTGTGTCCACGTGAGAAAAGTACCTAAGTCTCCAGCACAGCTTTTCATAAAGCAACAAATCCTTCCGAGAAGATTCCACCATCAATGTGGAAGAACTTGTCCAGGCTTGAGCAGACCATCATGTCTCTGCGGTACAGGCTGACATTTAACAATGCTGAATGTGATCTCTTCTTTGAGAAATTCAGAGGCTGTGACTGATTCTGGAATTTCATGTGGACTGGAAGGGAGGTGGCATGGCCTCAAACTTCTATCAAAGAGAAGCTTTTGGAAGAACATAACCGGTTTTGAGCTGGTAAACATCATCCCAGATCAGGAAACGCAGCCAGCAGGGAGCCCCGTGGAATGAGGACATCGGCTGGAGGCCAGTTCTCAGGCAGCAGCTGTCTAAGGCACTCGGTGTTGCAGAGAGGGCAAGATCCTTACTGGGATCCAGGCTCGGAAGTAGGGATGCCAGACTTCCGAGCCTTTGGAGGTGGAGGGGGTGGTGCTTTGGCTTCTCTTCGTGCAGGCAGTGGGGGAGCGAGCTGCAGAAGCAGAAACACAAAATTAGAAGCAGGTCTTAGCTTTCTTCCTAATTCTGCCTTCTCTGCCCATTTCTCATATTCTGCTTTAGCTTCTAATTGATCTGAGTTTATCTACACAGGCTTTGCAAAGTGAAATGGAAAACTACACTGATTTGTCCTCGTTTCCCGTGAGCTGATCAGACACACACACACACACACACACACACTCTCTCTCTCTCTCTCTCTCTCTCTTTCGCTGCTGTATCCCCAACACTTGGGTTCCTGGCGTATAGATAGGAGGCACTTAGAAGTCATTTGCTGAATGAATGAAGGAAACTCATCTAAAGTCATTTCAGAATGACTGTCCTTTACTCAGAAGTAAACTCTTCAAATGTGAAACAGAGGGCTGGGGGCAGGCAGTGGCTCACACCTGTAATCTCAGCACTTTGGAAGGCTGAGGTGGGGGGATCACTCGAGGCCAGGAGTTTGAGATCAGCCTGGGCAATACGGAGAGACTCCATTTCAACAAAAGATTAAAAAATTAGCTGGGCATGGTGGCACATGCCGGTAGTCCCAGCTAACTGAGGGGCCAAGGTGGGAGAATCACTTGAGCCCAGGAGTTCAAGGCTGCAGTGAGCTATGATCGCACTATTGCACTCCAGCCTAGGTGACAGAGCCAGACCCTGCCCGTGCCCCCCTGAAAAGGTGAACTAGAACTCATGGCTTATTTCACAGGTACCCAGGACAAGGTACAGAGAACACCTGCTCTACCTTCATCATCTGCTTGAATGTCTGTCCTTCCCATTGAAAACTTCTCTATCTCCTGTGGTTTCAGGAACGAGCCAAGGATCAACTGCAGTGACAGGTCTATGAGCAAACCTGCCCACTAAAGAGCCGGGAAAACCTGATGCTGCCTTCCCAGGAGTGGCGCTCTCTGGCCACAGTTGCCAGCTGTGATTTCCATACCTCAGTGGAGTTCCTCTGGCTGCCCTCATAGGGCTTGCTTTTGGGGGGAGGTGGAGGTGGGACAGGAGTGGCCGCGATTCCATCTGTCTGCAACGATGGGGAGCCTAGAAATGACACAAAGTGCAGGCGGGCAGAGAGAGGCACTGAGCAAGAAAGCTCATGGAAATGTTGCTGGCACCATAACACCTAAGCCAACCTGGTCAACCAACTTGTGGAAGCCACATTCTGTGGTTTCTGTGGATAGAATGAAGAAGACTTCCCACCCCACATCACACAGGTAATGCCCTCACCAGAAGTTTCAAGAGCTCCACAAGATGTTCTGAAGCAAAAACTTTATTTTATTTTTATTTTTATTTTTTTGAGACTCACTCTGTCGCCTAGGCTGGAGTGCAGTGGTGCGATCTCCGCTCACTGCAAGCTCCGCCTCCCGGGTTCACGCCATTCTCCTGCCTCAGCCTCCCGAGTAACTGGGACTACAGGTGCCCGCCACCACGCCCGGCTAATTTTTTGTATTTTTAGTAGAGACGAGGTTTCACTGTGTTAGCCAGGATGGTCTCGATCTCCTGACCTC